GTACTGTACCATTCACGTTTTCATAGTCATCATTCAAAGTTTTTGGATGTGATGTTAGGCGACCTCACTCGTGAAATCGCGCAGGTCCCATACGGCCAATAGAGCCAAAACGCGCTATGCCGTCAGAGTGGTAGCATGACAAATTGCGTGTCGACGGACAAAACTTATCTACTATAAAGGGGAGTTGCAGGGCGAATAACGGTCTCTGTACTGTGCGAGAGTAGTGCCGAGAGTGAACGTACGCGCGGAGAGCACAGACGGCTCGCGCATGGCGAGTGTGAATGTCCGCGCGGGAGAACGTAACTGATCAGGCGAAAATCCTCGACGTGCCGTTGAGGAATCCTCGACCGATATTCACCTTGGGAGTTGGACCCAAATGAAAAAAGGTGGTCTTCTAGAGACGCGCTCGAAACGGTTTACTAGGGCCTTATCCGTCCTTTTGAACGCTTTCGTGCCTCTGCTCTCCTTCCAATTCAGCTGCTTCCTCTGCTGCTCCCTTGCTTGGGCTCTAGTTTTTGGTAAGAGGCAGAGTAATGCGTTTACACTGATGAAGTCAGTCAGCATAGTTGAAACTCGTCAAGCGCGGAAACCAATGGTAAAACAAGGGCACCGTTTTGCGGGTTTTAGTTCGTTTCTCTTACTTTTTCCTTCTGTTATACCTGACTGACCGAGTACTGTTCCATCTGTTTTTAACTGTACAGATTAAGATCTGAACATTTTCAATTGCTCTGAAACTCTGTAGTTTTGTAAAGAAGGTATAAAATAAGTTTCAATTTAAAACGGTTATTTTCAAGTTATAATTGCAGCGTATTAGTTACCTACCAAAACGGCTCTGTCTAGCAGCACATCAGTGCTCATTCGTTTCGCCGACAAGTCGGAGTACACCACTATTAGCGTCTTCGTAGATGATGTCGTCCTGACCGCTCCATCGCGCGTTGAGGATGGAAGGCCGAAGTCGACTCATCGTAGTCAGGTTGATCGGCGTCCGAGTGTGATCTATAGCCGCCGACACTGAAAACGACCACTACTCGCCCGACTGCTTATTACTCACATTAATAAGAGCGGTCGCAATACACGATCACCCAGAACTCCTTGTACGTGTCTCTTACCCAACCAGGATCAACCCACCTTCGCACTATTCGAAAAAAGGGTCGCACTTGCAATTTTGAAAAGAGGAGAAGTCGCATTTTGGTGGTCGATAGCAAAGTTGATTACCTCCGGGAAAAGTGTAAACGGGGGATGTAGAGGGGTCTGTATTTGACGGGTACTCGATGATTTTGGCGAAAGTTCGTGCTTTGGCGAAAAGCATCTAAAGTAGCCCTGAATTGAATCAATGGATTTGCTGCTTTATGATACCATCTTACCTCTCTCCCTCTCCGTCCTCCCACCCCCCTCCACCCGACAACTTTCGGAGGAAAAAAGTGGGAGAGGTTGGGTGTTGGGTGTAGGAGGGGAGTCCCTTAGAGGCTGATGGTGATGGTAGGGCCGCATCGAAACCTCTCTGTAGTGTGGTGAGGGGAAGAGGGTTCGCAAATTTTTTGGAAAAGTGCGAATGTTACGGCTGCTTTGGAATCCATTTGAACTGTGTCGCGTTTTTCGATGAGCTAGTACAACATACTTTTGCCACATAATGTATAATATTTTATTGCTATTAATGTTATGAGTAGCTCCCTACAAAACCAAGTCTCCTCTTCAGGTCTTTCGAGGTAACTACAGAGTAAACAGGAAGGCCAAGGTCGCAGCCATTGAGAAGAGGCGGCAGCCTTCACAAGCAGGCTTGCAAACCTTTGAGGTCTTTGGCTATCGCCTTCTGAATAATATATTCAGTAATTAAGTTTAACCAACGCCTTACCCATGTTCCTTGAGCGCGGTCCTTTTTTATCGAAACGAATTCACGAGGGAGAAGTAACTGAACTGCATGGTACATTCAACCGATGACTGTACATTCCATACGCAAACGCTGAACTGAAATCTGCCTCCCAAATCTGCTAGTTTCCCTGTAAAGCTATGAAGCGGAAAAGCGTATCGGATGAAAATTGGGGTTATCAGGCAAATGGTTATGGGATCAGGTCCTTCGGAAGTTTAAAACGATTCGAGGGATCGCTACCAGCGAATTGTTACTGGGCGAATCGGTCGACTCGCACAGTCTGACACCGGCCATAGAGTCATGAACCTTTGCCAAGTCCCCGTCAAAACCTTAGCTATGCCCCTCTCCTGTCGATAGGAGACGGATCCACGGAGAGATGGAGTTCGTAGTGAACGTTGAGTTAGTCTGGAGTTTTGCCGAGTTACGATTAGAAGATGGGTCTTTTCGAAAACGCGGGAGGAAAATTAATGAACGCCGTTGGCGGGCGAACCGAATAAGCTCACTAACTGATTTTTGCAAAACCCTACCGATAATTTCGTTGCTGTTTTGAAAGTACTCATAGTCCCGTCAACGCAACACCAATCCACACTTGAATAAACAAGGTTCCTTGGCTGGATAGGCATTCTCGCGCAGAAACTCAACACGTACTAATTTACCCCCATATTCTCCATAAAGTGCCTACATAAGATTGAATAATCAATTTGAGAGGATGTTACCACTCGCCACCGGCTATGCGCGCAAACAAAATTAATCAAAATGTGTGGTTTGCCTTTAACTCTCTATCGATCTAAACATGTCTACAGACGGTGGTGGTTTCGTTCTTTACCCAGAACGCATAGTCCGTTCAATACCCAGAACATACTGATGCGCTTCGCACCGTTATTGAAATGAACTTGTCCAGTCCGACTGACTTGGGATTCTCCTTTTTCATTCAAGAAAGGGAGGGGTGAAAAAGAAATTTGCAAGAAGACGAGGAAGTGTTCTTCTTACCAAGCAAGCGCTGTGGAGCTGGGGGAAGTGGTTGGTGGGGGTGGGTGGGTCGTAGCATTCGACTGCTCTAGCCTATTGAAAACTATTGAAAATCCGATTTCCAATTTCTAGCACTTTATGAGCTTCGAAACTAGAGCAAATACATGCGCTCCATGATGAGCTCAATGCAAGAAAAACATGTGACGCCAAGTTTCGGAGAGAGAAAACTCGAAATGATGCTTTTAGCAAAGGGCCTACTTATGCAATTAAGGATCACATAAAAGAAGTGAAATAAGTTAACCACAGAAGCTTAGCTATTAGGCATTGGATTACTTATGGTTAGTGTTGTTTTTTCACCACGAGTTTCGGACCACCAATATTTTAATTCAGAATCCAGGGAGTGAAACAGCATATTCATCGAATGACTCATTAGCACTTTCCCATTTACCAGTATGAGTGGAAACCTCGTACGATTAAAGCTAGGAATTTTTTGAGTCGAAAAAGAGAGGTAGGTCGGTTTTGACATCATCTGACAAATCATCCCTCTCACTTGCTAAAAAGTTAGGCCTGGACAAAAGAAGTATACAGTTAGTTAGAGTAGGGTCTGCACTGTATGGTGGAAAAGTTATTACTTACCAGCTCAACTGGACAATTTTTCCCAGTCTTTTTTGCCACATAGGGTCAAAAACGCACCCTTTTTGAGCACACGTAAGTAGTGGTGAGCACATTCCATGATAACGACACTAAGGAATCTGGTGCCTGGTACAACTAGCAGGCTTGTATCTTTCATAAAAATGTGCTGTGGCTGTGAAAGAGGAGAGAAAATTCATCGAGCTGTTCCTCAAACTAACGCAATCTGACAGCTCAGCTCATAGCGGTTTGCATAAAGGTGCCTCTATTCTTCACCGCATCAGGGAAACATCGTTTCTCGAGTTAATAATACGTAGGATAGAACCATGGTTTTGGACGCTAATAATAAAAGTTTTCGAATGGATAGATGTGGAAAAGGTGGCGAATACCGGAGCGCTTCCGTTTATTTCTTGCAAGAGTCAAGATACATGAAAGAATACCACTCAAGAGTGATTGACTATATAAAGCCAATCTAGAACAACGATGGCATTGGGAAGGTCGCAGCTATCTAGCCTTTGACGAAAAAGTAGGAAAGGAACAAAAGATGCATAAAGACGCAAAGACTCTCAACTCTTTCAAAGCAACACCCCCAGATCGAATTTGTGGGGTCACAGCGGTCGATAATGGAGTTGTGGATGCCGAGTTGACTAAAAATGAAAAAAGAAGCAAAGAAAACCGTCGATGAAGCCCAAAAAAATTCCCTTGAAAAAGGAAGGGGCGGGGCCAGACGAGTTGTACGAACTTGCCTGCTCCACGGCTCAACTAACCCGCGTATTTGAATTAGCCGCTACGCCGTAATCCACGTTGCGTGTCATGGGGTGTGCGCGACGTAACTCGTCCAAACGCTAAAATTAGTCGCCATAAGGCCGATGTCAGACTTTGCGAATCGCGCGATTCCTGGCCGCGACGCGACCGCAGACGCTAGCGAATCGCGCGATTCGCAAAGTCTGACATCGGCCTTAGCTGGCTTTGTAAGACCCAGCGCCATTGTCGCGCATTTTCGAGCCGCGACAACGGCACATCTGTGCTACTCGTGGGCTACTCTATCCCACCCACTGAACAGATTCTTCGACACGACTTCTGCTGGGGTGTTGCTTCAGGGAAGAAGTTATTAAGCAATGACACTGGAGTAAATATTGTTGCTATGACGAGTACTCCTGCCAAAATGGAAGAGTTAAGGACATTTTTTTTTACAAAAAAGGCAAAAAAGAAGAAAGGCAAAAAAGAAGAGTAAGAGAAAGGAGTAGCCATAAGAGAAAAATCAAATTTTTGGCAGAAGAATGCCTTGCAGACGCGTCGACCCGTAAAGAATTAAATGTCGCGTAACATTCACTCACTTGGAGTTAGTATCAGAACGGCCAAGGCGATTAGCGAACAGATGACCATTATAACGAGCAAAGCAGTTGCTATTCCTTTCCAATCCCTTTCTTGAGGACCACCGCTGGCCAATTCCTGAAAATAGACACGCCTATAAAAGGAAATTTCCATAGAAGAAAATTTGATATTAGAGCCCCCTCCTCATTCTGCCGCAAGAAGAATAAAGCAACACCCACAATGTTTTGTGTTGGAGTGTTTTCAAAAATGAGATGAAGCAGGCATTGTGAAGGCTTGGAATGCCGGCGAATGCCTCTAACACTCGGTAAGAGCGGAGGGGTGCGTACCAAGTCTTCCGATCAGGTTAGGTCACCTCTGATTGAAACACCTGAGATTCGCTCATAGCAAGTATCGTACTATGTCTAAACTTTGGCTAGCACACACCTCTGGTGACCTAACCTATTCGGAAGACTTCACTGTTAATCCTGCTATAAGAAATGATCTTTAGTTGCGCAGCCGGATGAGCCAGAGATACACAAGCCGCGGAGGGGGATCGACTGCTGTGGGGAATAGGACGAGCAGACTCACCTCAAGCATGATGCAGCTGAGGCAAATTGTCTCCTTATGCGCTTCCTCTGATGCTTCAGAAGTCTGCACGGCCAACCGCGGTAGGCATCAGTCCATTTATGTTCACTTAAGGTGCCACCCAATAAACCACTCATTGTTATCGAATTTATTAATATTTCGATTAACCCAGCACTGGAACGGAGAGAGTTCATGGATTTTACGCTAGATAAGCAATGTGATGACGGCTGTACCAATTTGTTAAACACAGTAAGCAACAATTAAAGGAAATGGTCACGATAAATGTCATGGAGACAAGTGATGAACCTGCATAGCGGATTGGGTGGGAGTCCTACCAAAGGAGCCGATATTTGAGACATCAGGAGCAGTGGCGCCTTGTGAGTGATGATAAGGCGCCGGACCCAATTCCGGAACACCCACCTCATAGGCTGGTGTCAGAGTCCGCGACCCGCCGCGCGATTCGGCGATTCACGCGATTGACGGCAGGAGCGAGATAAGAGATGAGATAGAGCGGTTGACGAGCGCATGAAAGATACGAGACATAACATAGAAGAACACACTCGTTTGAGTTAAGGTGTAGCTCAGAATTAAAAATTGGGGGGGGGGGTTAATGATAAAAAGGTAGCACATAAAGTGCTACGGCTGTAACCCTTGTTCCTCATCTGGAAATATTAAGGTGGTCAAGAGGATCCAGAAGCTCGAAGCTTCTTTCCCAGTCTCTGATCACAACGGATTGAAGGGGCTGGAAATGCGCCATCTGTATTCTCACTGGATAGGTCGTGCTTAACTTCGATACACTACGCAACTTTTCCATTCGTTATCATGAAATTTACGATTGAGAAGCAGCGGCCAAGACAAAGCCTTAACGCCCTTGTCGCGCACATAGTAGCGACAGTCCCACGACTCTTGCACTTAGGAACCCTGCTGCTACGAGAGAATCGTTCTGAAGATTTATTCGCGACCTCTGTCTCATGATGAATCATGGTTAGTCTAGGCTTGAAGCAACACCTAGAATTTATGGGGTCGCAGCGGTTTACAGCGAAGTTGTGGATGCCGAGTTGACTAAAAATGAAAAAAAGAAGCAAAGAAAACCGTCGATGAAGCCCAAAACCAAAATTCCCCTTGAAAAGGAAGGGGCGGGCCGGACGAGTTGTACGAACTTGCCTGCTCCACGGCTCAACTAACCCGCGCGTATTTGAATTAGCCGCTACGCCGTAATCCACGTTGCGTGTCATGGGTGTGCGCGACGTCCAAATGCTAAGATTAGTCGCCAAATAGTGACTTTGTAAGGCCCTAGCGCCATTGTCGCGCACTTTTCAACAACAGCACATTTGTGCTACTCATAGGCTACTCTATCCACCCACTGAATAGATTCGACACAACTTCTGTTGGTGGTGTTGCTTTAACAGCATCCAAATTCCAAGAAAGCATCCGAAAAGGGAATGGTGGAGCTTGATCCACTTCCGGCGTTTTATTGACTAGCATGGCAGGACAATTTTCGCAAATCTACAATCGTTGAGAACGGGCGGTGACAATATGTTGATAATATAATAGCTATTCACTAGAATTAGAAGGGCCACAAAGGAAATGCTGTTGAGGGATGTTGACCAAGCCGTATGAACGGTTGGGGCCATCACCGCAGAATTATGGGCACGATTACGAGC